TAATCAGTTACGTCACCACTTTGCAGTGTGAATCGCCCTATGTGTTCTAGAGTAGACACCTCTCCTAAACCGGTAAACAGTGAGAATTCTGGCACTTTATACCCTCTAGGCCATGGATATGCTTGGTCTACCCAATCAGGATTTGGCTTTGTGTAAGTTGGCCTAATGACAGGACGTACTCCAAAAACCATTTGGTCCTGTACGATTTTCATAATCTGATTCCTCAACATGACATTGGGGTCATATGTAATTCCTACAGATTGGTTGACTGGTTGATTTGCTTGAGGCCTGATGTTTGGTCCTTGATTGGCAAAAAAGTTACCATGATTTGGGTCATTGTTACCATTAGCCTAAACATTTATTCCATCATTAACACGTGGGGTATTCTGCCCATTATTTAGGACATTATCTCTTATATTTAGGTTACCGCCCAAGTTAGATGTACCAATGCCACTATTCTGATTTGGTATTACACCACCCTCCTAGTTTGAAGTAGAGGGATCAAAAGGTGGTTCTACCCCTTGATTTAAACTTAGGACTGGGGGATTATGTCCCACAATTATTCTAATTTGAAAGTGATTTGTAAAAGGCACAACTGGCTGACAAATTTGGCCTACTAACTTATTCATTATTTCATTCAAAGTATTCAGTTGTTTGGCCATGTTGTCATAATGTGCATTCCCATTCTGGGTAAATCTTTCCATATTATGAATATTTTGTAGATTTACCTATTCAACGATATCTTGTGTGAGTTCTCCGAGTAATGCACACATGGTTCGAGGACTCAATTCTGTCACTGGTTCGTAACGACTGTGATTGCTCTGATTCTGTCCATCTATTCGTGGAGAGCTATGCTGCTCCTCATATCGCTCGATCACAGACTAGACTCCTCCCTGACTTGCTGCTTCCTTATCGAATTTCTAAGGCATAATGTTTCACCTTTTGTATCTTCAACACCAAACACCAAAGTCCCACTGGGCGTGCCAAATTGTTTCGCGCGGGTTGTCGCTAACAATTAAAAAGGGATCAGACGATTGTGTAAGGAACAAATCTCTTGAGACAAAGTCCCAAAAAGGGGTGTTTTATTGGCGATGACTTTACAATTGAAATTTAAACAGAATGCCTCCAAGGGGCGCAAGCACACAAGTACTGAAATAGAAATGTTTTAAATCTAAACTAAGGAATTGAAATTACATATTCTCTGTTTGAGAGTGTTTGATTCGAGGTCCTTTTGCTCTATGTCTTCTTTTCCTTTTATATTCCCTTGATGATCTCTTTGTGATCAACCGCTTAGAAACTACTTAATTACTTTATAACTGCCTACTTTCTTCATGGTGGCCAATTTATCGTGGAACTGCCATCTTTAACTGCTGCCACTACTCTTTGTCGCTCAACCGTCTTCAACTGAACTCCTTGAATCGGGGAACGTGATAAGATTACTCACTAACTGCTTCGATAACTGTACTTTTGGATAACCATAACATCTTATGTTTGCGAAGATCCTAGACGATTCGAAGGTTTGGGCGAGAACAGGGTCATAACTCTAGGCGACTGCAAGGCACTTCATTCGCTCAGATCTTGGGCGTCTTGCAAGTTTGGGCGATGGTGTTACCACGTTCGTGGGCTTCCACTGCATTCATTAATAACCCTATTTGGGCCTTTATCCTGAATTGCCCAGTTGGGCTTCATTCTTTGAGCTATTCGATTTGGACTGCACTTTTAGCGTATCAACAGACATAATATAAAACAACCATCGTATTACAATAATTTCTTAGAAAACTCAATTTTCAATTCATTATTAGTCAAATTGCTTTTTTGAAACAGGAATGCTGAAACTTATAATGGACATTCTGTAAAAGTACATATTATAAAATCAAATATGGAAACCTATATTGTGAAAGTAACAGTTTCACCATCACATGAAAGGCTACAAATTTTATCTCTCGTGCAATGTTATCTAAAATGTGCGTATCCTTCGTTGCTAAAACGGAAACGGGCAATTCTTGTTCACAACCTTTGTTCTCAACCCGCTTAGAGCTACACTCCTTTATCTAGCTTAGGATTGAATTGTGACTAATCTTTGCCATCATTTCCCTAAAAACCTTGTTGACATTGCCAATTCAATATCTTAAACCGACCCCCTACATCATTTCTAGCATGAAAATGCTCCGAAAGAGCATGTAATCGAGAATAAAGAGATGCGGTAGCAAATACTAAGTTACAAAAATTGTTAGGCATATAACTTAATATATTACATTTGATCTAGAAATGCAAATATCCCAATTGTCATAAATGTTAATTAAAAAATCTCAAAGAGATTTCTAAGTGCTTTTCAAATGTAAATACAAAAATGAGCTTCACAGGATTACAGATTCAATATTTCACAGTTCATTTATTAAAGATATTTAACTACACCTAAATATTAAAATAGTAATAAAACTAAAAGAGAAAACTCAAAGTACCTGCCATAATTTCTTCTCTTCCCTTCTATCTGGAGTAGAATTTCCCTTAAGCTCAAGCTCATTAAGCTTATCAGCAATCACTTCAGCCTGAGCCAAAAACTGAAGTACTCTTGATCAGAACACACAAAAACACGAGAATCATTATGTGAAGGATGAACATAAATACATTGAAGAGTCAAACAAATTCTTTAGAAAAAAGGGACAAAAATACTATAATCAACCTTGGAGCTAAATCAGTAAAAGCCTTCTTCAATATAGGCAAGCGATGAGGCGAGTTTCCCTTCATATAATTTCATGATTTTAACAATAAATTCTAAAAAGAAATTAATTTGTAAATTCTATCATAATCAACCTTGCTGCATGAAGATTTCATCATAGTTGGAACCTCCATGAGGAGGATTCATTGAACAAGAATCTGGAGTCTCATTTCCCATGATTTCTAAAGCAATTCCCCCCTTTAGTTCTCTATTCGAATTAGTAATTTAAGCCCAAATAACTTTCAGACCATTCCTAGCCCTTGCTAATGGAAGACAAAAACACCACTTTTAGGCCATCGGACCAACACACCAACCTGAAAACCACACTGCCCTCTACATGTCCAACCAGCAATCGACCATAACTCGAGCAGATTTGGCAAAAAATCCACTCCAAAGGCAGCTGTGTACAGAAGCAAAAACGATCGAAAAATCACATTCCGGTAACACCCAACCTATGCCTAACATCCCAAAGGACTCTATTCATCCAGGCACATCAGACCATGGTCCCCAATCAACAACTCATGCATCTATTCAAAATTTGCAGCAAGCTTCTTCGAACACAGCGAAGATGCAGGTTTCAAACCCAAATTCCAGAGTTGGTGATGAAATATACGATCGTGAACCACTACTACAGGAACCTACTCCTCATGGCGCATCCATTGAGCATATGGGTCTCCTCAATTTGTACTTGAAATGACAACCAACATCAAGGCAGTGCGGACACGTCACGAATACTGGATATATGTGTAGTAATTAAAGCAATAGTAGATCCCAGGCAAGTTCGGGATCGACATATAAAAGGAATAGTGTTGATGGAAGTGGAAGAAAGATTAATATAAAGTTCAATAAATCTCAGCCTTCTGGGTTTCTTTTGTTAAGCTCCTGGGTTTCTTTTGTTGAGGGTTTCCTTTGTTAAGAGAAAAGAGAAAGACACTCTACAATCTCCGTGCTGAAAGGAGAGTTGGGACGGCAACTCTCTGTCCAGCACGAAGAGTACAGTGACTCTATCCATCCAGCACGATGCACTCTCCATGCTGCATAACACGATCTTCGCACTGTACGGAGCACTCACTCTCCGCACAGCGCGAAGAGGCATGCTCTAAATCTTGATTAACATAGAGAACTCTCCGTCCAACACGGAGAGCGCTCCATGCTGCATAGCACGATCTCTACGCTGCTCGGAGCACTCATTCTCCACACGGCGCGGAAAGGCATGCTCTAAATCCTAATTGACATAGAGAAAGTCATCGACATGGCACAAAAATAGATTGCAAACTACATGCAGAAAATTGAGACTTGGATATGAATAAATCCAATGTATTTATGGATTCTAGACATGAATTTAAACATGTATATGGCAAATAATCCAAGTAGATTTTCACCTTCTCTTTGTCTCCATCTATTCTTCTACAGCTACCATCAGCAATTGAAAGGTCTAGCAAATCTTACCTTCACAAAGTAGAAAAGGACGCTTCTACTCAATTCTTTGAAGCAATTAAAAGCTTAAATCAGCGTGTTGACCACATAAAATTGAAAAAATAAAAAGAAAGTAATCGCGCAAAGTAACTGATGAACCTCGTCCAGAAGAATATGTCTCCACTATTTGCGTAGACTTTTCTCCCTCCACATATATGCATGCCCACCCCATATTCAAATCCAACTAAATTTAATTTTTCAAAATTCGATCAATTCACACAAAAAAAAGGAGAGAAAGTGATAGCGTAACTTACATAAACCAACCGATGAAGTTTGTACAATTTAAGCCTACAATTTGATTTTATTTTTGGATTTGGAAAGAGAATAAACAAAAAGGTAAGGAAGATGAAGAAGAAGAGTACTACAGAAATGGTAGATTGAGTGAAAAAATGGAGAAAAAATAATACCAATATGCCTCACGCTTGCAATGGGCAACACGTTGTTTTCAGCTAAAGAAACAGAATAAATGAGTGTAGGACGATATATAGGACACACGTCCAGCCAAACTTTCACTCTTTTATATATGTAGGATATAGCTTAGGTAAACAAGTAGGCCAACACCAGACAATAAATGGTCCAAGACAAAAGGATAATGGGCCAACCTATATAAGCTTCCAGGAAGTAAACGGATCGTGGGCACTTTTAATTAAATTCGGCCACTTCTAATGATCCTAAGTACTTTTCGGGTCAAGCTATTTCATTGAAGTGTCAATAATTAATTCAAACATTTGGTCAATGTCGACTGAAAATTTTCAATGAGTAACATTATCGTCCGCGATTTATTGGGTATCAAAACTCATCATTGTGTCATTCGTTTATAATTTTATTTGTACAACTGAAAATCAATGAATATCATTTTAAAACAAATTACTTCCACATTATTGACAGGAGAAGAATTGGATTAATAAAGATCGGGAGCTTCTGATTTCAACGAAGACTCGAACTCAAAAGTTAACATTTGCCCAATGTGATACGTTTTCTCCTTGACTATTGTTGCTAGAGCAATTACTCACATTCATCTTTTGTAATTAGGGATAACATTGAGCTGCCGTTTGAGCCTCATTATTTCTCATTACATTAAATTAATTTTTTCTCTTTCTTACTTTTAACTACACAATCTTCAATAAAATAATATTACACGTAAATCAAAAACTTTTCAGCCACTCATTTTTCAAAAAAATACTATTTATCTTATTATAATCTATAAATAATGGGGCTCAAACGACCCCTGAAGATGCTTTGGAAAAATCGCAGGTACAAAAAAAAGTTGAAATTACTGGTACATGTAGAAAATTTAGTACATTGCCATGCCATTTTTTTTAAAACTTTTGGGCGTACCAAAAAATATCGGCTCTACCATCTCACTGGTAGAAACTAGCATCTGGTGTTTAAATGATAGTTTTGGGTAAGAAAATTAGCTCCATCTGAATAATTATTTGTTCTTGAATGAATGAAACAGGCAATCATTGAAGCTATTGTTGGAGAAAGAATTAGTTGCAGTAATGTTCAGAATAATAAAATGCAGAAATATAAAACTTATCATCTGATCGAGTCTCGTGACAGCACGATGTCCTAAAGTGAAATTGCCCGTCGATAATTACTGAGACCTCTGTGGACAATTACTCCCAGGATACAACGATTGTAAACCACTTATGCAGCAATCACAAATGATTTTTCCAGAACTCTCAATTGTACTCCAGAATATATGTAAAAATCCGAGTATAAGAAATTCAAAATTTGAAAAGGATGATTGATGCAAGATGATTTTTCTATTTCTTTTTTATGTGTGTTTTTTTCAAAACGAGATATGAGTTTATATAGGCAATATGGAAGTAACAGTCTCCACCATGTCCAGAGAATAATGCAGAATATTAATGATTGAGTAGTGGGTGTTTTAATGACTGTTAGTGGGTTGTTACAAAAACAAACAGTCAGAAAATATTGGCTAGTTTTACCCATTAAATAAAAAAAATTATTTTAGTCAAGGAAGCCCAAGGCCCCAATCAAGACATTTTAATATTTGCGCAGGGAGTGACCCAAACTCCTGACGTCCCACACAAATGCCACATTTCCCACTACTATGGCACTTCATCTAATTTAATTATTTCTTTCACATTTTATATTTATACCATAAATATATAACAATCCCCCACATGAAGGAATAAGATAAATGAAAATATTACTCTGGAGTACGGTAGAAATCATGCAGGCTTAGGTGTCTATCGACTTGAACCTTGGCTTTGTATATTCTATCGAGCTTACTAATTGTAGAGTGAACTATGTCTTGAACTCTACAATTATAGTTACAAACTGAGACAATAGAACATACACATGATTTCTAGAATAGTCATTGAGTTCTCGCGGTTGTGTTCATTTCGACCGTGAACTTTCCCAGTTTCTTTGAGTGCTCTAGAGAATTCGCCTCAATTCTTATAGGAAGCGGCCCCACTTCCACACTCAAATAGGTGCTTCTATCAAGAGTGCACTGTATCTAAATATCCCACTGAATATCAGCTATAGTAAGCATTAAAAGCATTAGCTCATCTTCTAGTCAATACAGTTAGTACTACGCATCATAGGGAGGGGTTTGGAATAAATCCAATGTAGTACCCCCACAGACCACTCCAATAACTTTGTTGTCCCATTGAACCTTGACCATGGGATCTCCAACTGCAAGGTTGGGTTTTCATTATAGGTGATCTAATAAGTAATAGGCTTTAGCCTCATCCCCCTCGATATTTGTTGAATTAGCTCTCTAGCTAATCCTTTGGTTAATGGGTCAGCAATATTATCACTTGACTTCACATAGTCAATAGCTATAATCCCATCCTTAAGCAGCTAACGCACAGTATTGTGCCTCGTACGAATATGTCTAGACTTTTCATTGTAGGATGAATTTCGAGCTCTTGAAATAGCTGCCTGACTGTCACAATGTATTGAAATAGTTGGAAATGGTTTAGACCACAAAGGAACATCCATAAGAAAATTCCTTAACCATTCAGC